CCAGGGTGAGAATGGGTCTGGCCAAAACCTCTGGAGCACTTCCATTCTGCTAGGGACTCTTTAGAAAAAACTCAGAATTTGTCTGTAAACTATTCATTGTACCTTGTGTCTCCTCTGTAACACTAACATTATTATTAATAAAATGTAGCAACAGTATTAACAATTAGTAATTGATACAATAAAAATTGTATAATTAGTCACAATAATACATCTCATTGTCTTTAGAAAAAGCAGACCCTTAGGAGTTAGCCTAAGAGTGAGAGATGCTGCATAAATCCCAGTGAAGCATGGGTATGAGAATTTTGAACTTCCCCCTCTGAAGTTGAATTCAGAAGGTGATCACAACCTGTTTATATTCATGCCTCAAGAAGGTCACAAGCAGAAGCTAATTTCCTAATGTGCTCCTAGATAGAAAATTGCTATTTTAGGCTTTCTGGTTTTGCTGATCTACTCTTCAGCAAAATAGTAAGAAACTACACACATACAAAATCAGCTCTCAGAGTTGTATAACTGCAAAAACACAATGAAATACCTTCCAGTCTAGATCATCAAAAGAAGCTTGGGAGGTAGTCCCAGGCTACTAATACTCAACCCAATTGCTTTTATGATCGGAAACAACAATTTCTAGATATTACGCCTTTCAGTCTTTTGTTTTGTTTGCTTTTTGCTTTTCATTTACAGAAAGCTTTGTTGCAAGGGTTGCTTGTTCACTACATTTCTGAGAATCACAAACAAGAGAATTTGAGGGCTTTTGCTTAAGTTTGGAGCAAATGCCTTGTTCAAGTGCTCTTTCAAATAGTGGCAACTATTTTTAGATGGTCTGGACTTTTTTTGGATGAAAGGGTCTTGGAAATTTTTGGTTATATAAGAACCCAGAGAGAAAGTTGGCTCTTAAACATACTGCTTACATTATGAAACAGATATAAACATTATGAGGAAGTGACGAAAGCTGGAATAGTATCCTTATCAACAGGTGGCCCTGGGCAGGATATTCTTCACTATTTGCCCTATAAATAAGCACTGGATTAGGAAAAAGGCCTGCCCTGGGGAAAGACACAAGGTTAATGAGGGAAGGTAATCATTCACCTCACAGTATCTGTCAATCTGTCTTCCATGTAAGTACTGAAACCAAAATAATTTGAACAGGCATTTAGAAACCATAATGGGACTTGAATACTAGCCAACTCCCGTAACATTTCTGATACCAACACCACCAGATACATATAAGTGAACCCCAGAGAAGACAAAAAACACAACCCCAGATGAAATAAAAAAATCAATTACTATGATAAAAGTGACAGTGAATTCTTCTTGTGTACACCCTCTCATCTCAAACCCAAACATTCTTGAGCATGCATTGGCATGCAGTCTTCAGCTGCCTGATCACACACACGGCTGTTTCTCTCCCCTCAGGACTCCTGCCTCATAAGGGCAATCCAGGGATAACGCACAACTGGGAAACCAGTCGTTGTTGTTCTTCCTGGTTGTTCAAACCGTCCCTGTACTTTCCTCACTGTTCCAAGAAAAGAACTACCACGTCCCTAATAGGCCATTCATTTCTATGGAAATGTGCCCCAAAATACAGTACAGTCTAGCTTGCAGTATCTTTTTGCTGCAGCAATGAGTAAGGTGGCACTGATGATAAAGTGAAAAAGGTTGAAAAAAAATAAGCTAGTCTGCATTGAAGTGGGAATAGGGTCATCGTCTGCTCAGACACTAATCTCTGCTTTGGATTCACTACCTTGCTAGGGAATGTTGCATATCTGGTCAGCCCTGAAGTGGTGGGGTTTGAGGTGTGTTGTTTTGGTCGTGTGTGTGTGTGTGTCCCGCCAAATCAGCTTGTGGGTTAGTCCCTTTCTCTCACTCTTTAACTCAGCATTTAGAGCACTTACTCAGGATGTTTCTTCCTTATAATTTCTTCCTTATCTGAAGGAATTCAAACTGGTCTTTCCTACCTCCCAGGCAAAGGTTTACTAAACTCCGGTTCTCATCTCTCGCCATCTAAGCTGTCCTGTTTTGCATGAGCTCCTTTTGTATTTATAGAAAAAGGAACCAAGACAGATTCTGTAGCTATAGGGTGGAACAACCACCTGAAAATAGGGATGCCATTCCAGACATCTCCAGCTAATGCTCAGATCTTTTAAATATTCACAAGAATCAAGATTTAATCCCAGCTGAATTAATTCTGTGCTCACGTACTCTCCATTTCCCTCCTGCAATTCTGCCAATCTGGCCAGTTATGCCAGTAAGATTCCAGTCTTATATTCTGCCCCCTCCCTTCTTCCCCCATATACCCTGGTATGTAAGTAAGTATCACAGTACAGTAGATACCCCATTCAACACATTAAAGTTTTGAGACACCACCACACCCACTTACATAATTGCATGAAATACTGGTTCTTGTAAGCCATCTAGTGGTAAAAAGCAGAATAATACAAAGAGGAAACCATATCAAACTTTTCCTTCTGAAAGATAGTTTAAATATAATCAGCAGGACACAGGGTTACCTTTCTGATCAATGGATGTTTTTTCCCACACAGCAGCAAGATGATTAGGCTCATAACCCATCTCTGAATAAGCCAAGAATATGGCCACAGTCTCCTCTCTCCAATCCTAAAAACTATGTTAGATGTTCTGCCTGAGCAATGAAAAACCATATTGTAAATCATTTAGAAGAGAGAGCAGAGAGGAGGTCTACTGAAACTTTGTCAGAACAGATTTTTAAACCCTCTATTGGGTGAGTGCTAGCCATTTCTCGGTTCCTCTAGTTTGCTTGAGTAAAGAATAAATTGATGGAAGATGTCAGGTATTACAAGGAACAGACACGAGTTCTCATTTCACTCAACGCTGCAGACAGCGGTTGCTTTGCTTACAGCCCTGAAGTTTCAGAGCCCTGAGAACACCCACTAGTTCTGCAACCCCTCCTCACCTTCACAGAGGTTTGGCTGCCTGTGCACAAGTAAACTCTTGACACTCTGCACCCGGGATCGGCCTGCTCTGAAAAGGCTGCATGAGAAAGAGCTGTGAGCAGCCTTGCTGAAAGCTTCTGCCCCTTGGCTTAGCAGCTGCATTTAAGCTCAGGCCCTGGGCCTGGGTCCCTTCCTGAGCTGTGCTGGGCCATGGACCTCACTTATCCTGACCCTCACTTGCTGACATGACCATACCAAGTGGACACATGTTACAGCAGCCTCCTGATTTGGGATTGTCACAGATGGAAATAAAAAGACAATGACTGTAAATGCTTTATCCATGGTATCTAAAAGAGAACACACGTACACATTTGCTTGAATAAAAGTTTATTTCACATATCAGAAAAATCATTGATGCCATCAAGTAAGACTTTACAAGATAAAGGATACAAAGGAAAAAGACACATACAAATTCATAATAAATACACTGCTCTCTCATCATACTACATGCAGTATTCCTTGTAGTACACACTTAGGAACTAATTACTAGCACTGCAGTTAGCAGACATTTCACTTGCAAGACTGTTCCCTGTTTTTAAGGCTAAATCTTGCCCTCCTTCCTTAGGTAAATTCTTAGAGCTATTCCAAAGAACTCAGCCTGAATAGGAAGACTGGACCTGGTTTGTAAGTATCTTAGCTATTACATTTATGTGCCACTGTATAGCATAATCCTCTTTTTACACTTGGTTCTACTCAGGAGTCAGCTAATACAGTTAATATAACAAAGTCACCTGTATTAAAAAGAGAGTACCATTCACTGAATTTGGCTGATGTGACAAATGTAGATATAATCTGCAATATCACATGTTTAAGCTTGCAATTACCTGGTAGTGTCTTTCTGGCAGTCACAGTTAATGCTTCGTTGTAGTTTTTTTAACTAATGCATAGAATTATAGAATCTTTGGGTTAGAAGGGACGTTAGGTCATCTAGTCCAGCCCTGCTGCAGTGAGCAGGGATATCTTCAACTAGATCAGGTTGCTCATCCAGCCTGACCTTGAACATTTCCAAGGATGGGGCATCTACTACCTCATTTCACATTCTCTTACACAGTTGTTTTGTGATAAGGAACAAGTTAGAGACTCCTTTACTTGAAAAACCTAAGAAATGTGCCAGCTTTATTCAGATATGGTAATTGAGAGTATAAGGTACTACAAAACAGAGCTGAGGAACAAAACACTCTTCATAAACTCCAAATCCCCACTGATGTGAACAGAGTTTGGAAGCTGTGCAACAGAGGAGAGTTGTATTTGATTGTCTCATCTTAGTTCCTTTTTGGACACCACACAAAACCACTGAACAATATTTTCACTAAGTGTGCAGCAAAGCAAAACAAAAAAAAAAAAGAAAAAAGTATCACAGTGTATTGAATGCAACTGCTATTACCATATTATGTCAACATTAATAGGTTTCTCATATACATTCATCTGCTGTTTGAATTCTAGCTGCATTAAACTATCCAACAAGACAGAAAGAAACTATTGTCTTTACTAAGTTAATGGCAAACTACCTTTTGATTCAAAGTGAGAATTCCATCCAGTAGCTACAGGAAAAGTCAGACTACATAGAGAGAAAAAAAATGGGTTTAGATTCTTTCAAATACAAAGAAACAAAGAAATGGACATCTGCATCTCATATCTGTCTGCTGACTCCAGTTACTCTCAGACAAATTCTTGGAAGATACATAAAGCCGAATTTGAAAAGAACAGAAAGTGGAACCAGCACTTAGCTATGCCCTCCAAACTTACTTATTCTACCTGGTATTTGCAATGCTTCGTTTACACTGCATCCTCATATTTATGTAGGCCTTACAAGGTATAAGCACTCCAAATTATGCTGAATGTACAAGAGAGTTTTATAAATGAGATATAACATGTGCTTTTTAGGCAAAAATGTCTCTTTGCAATCATGCCTCCTTACTATTTTGGTCAATTTTTCAAATGACAAAATAGCCCCTGTCAAGAACTTGGTTACATGCACAGATTTACAAAAAAACCCAAGATCAGAGATCAGAAGTCTCATGTAAGTGATTTGAAAAGACAGGATTTTACTAAGCAATGTACCTATGCTTCTAGTGCTATCACAGTTCACAACATTTTACAAAGATAACATTCACATTTTAAAATATATGAACACAGCGTTTTTCCTTGTAATAACCTGATTACTTCCAAGTTTATAAGCTCAATCAAGACCGCCTCCCTGGAAGAAAAATGCATTTTTCTGTAGCTTGCCTTAAAGTATGATCCAGGACAATTGTTACGTTATTGAATGTAAATTTTATATTAATGGTCCAAGAGTGCAGAAGAAACACAGGATAAATCACTGTAAAGTAAGAGAACTGTTTGGGCTTTCTGTCACGTGCAGTGCACTATATTAGCTTAATTACACAATGCTGGCAAATAATTCCATTTATAAATAGCAACACTGCACCTTTGACACGGTACTCAATCAAAAAAGTAGATTTGCTGAAATGAAGAAAATGTTCCTGTATAAACTGGAGTATAATTATAAATCAATTCTTTTGTTTCCTCATCTTCACTAGGGAACTGGTGCAGGCTCTTCCGGGCTGTAAAACATTGTAAACATACAGATCACTTTATTGTTCTCCTCCTTGACAATATGTTTCTTGGCTAAGTAAGTTACTCTGTGTAGCGTAACAGTAAATGGAATTACAGTAACTAGTATTTGAAGAAACATCTTCAGAAAGCTGGTTACATCGTATTTTATTACTGGGGAGGGTAGGCTTTAATTATTAAAGCCAAGATGTACAAAAATATTTATCCATGAGGTACTGTCAGTATCTACCAGAGATACCAGTACTTGTAATACTGAAAGAAATGGAACAGAGTATCAGCCTACTGAAAGTTGCAGTGTTAGCACAGACTGTGCTGGTAAGGAAAATAAAAAATGAATCTTTGTCTCATTTATCACAGTGGCAACTCTACACAAGTTAAAATTAATGACAGATGGATATGAAAATGATATTTCAGAAGGATGGTTTAGTTATTACGTGATCATAGATGAGTATATTTTTGCCAGCTGAAAACAGTTTATGTTTTTTCTCCCTGTGGCTTCTTTTCAAAATTAAGGAAGACATTCTGCCTTACATTCGCTACAAACATCATTTACTCATTGCAACGTTATGATATGAAGTACTCGGTAGGAGCAGCTGTACACAGACTGGGAGGTAATGAAGAATAACTCATGATTCAGTATATGAGATGAGGGTTATACACATACGCTGGCTGACACAAGTTTGCTCTGCTAGAATTGAAGGTCAACAGATCAAAAGCTAGTGTCACACCTGTGTGGTACTATGCACAAGTTCACGATGTGTGTACACTTATATAAAAGAACTCATACACTGTGTCTCAACACGACTTACAGGCAGAGTTGGCACTTATTTTGCTGCATTTACTTGGACAATGGCCTGAGCAAGCTTACTTCTGCCTGTAATAGTGTGCAGACAGATACTAGTGCATGTAGCAAAAAAAACTAGAAAACATGCTGCCTTCTAGTATTAGATTACAAAAGAAAACATAAGACTCGTACTATACTTTCTCCTATTCCCCTTTATTTTTGTCTTAGGGGAGACTAAGTACCCTATTAAAATACAGGAAGCTTATGGGTGTTGACAAGGATTTTTACATGCTTTTGCTACCTTTTTGCAAAGGGGAGTAGGACTACATTATGCAAAAAAGAGCCTTGAACTTCTTTGAAGCACAACTTTTATTTCTACCTTCTCACTGACCAGGCCAGCACAAGTTGCATTTCTTTAAATCACTGTCTGCTTTCTCCAATTAGGTGACTCTTTTGATTAGAGATCAAATCTAAGAGACCAAACTCAATTAGGTTATTGATTATGTTCTTCATAGTCCAAATTGATCAGTAAGACAATTTCAAAAATAGTCAATTTGAAATATGAAAAATGGTATTTCAGCAGAATTGCTTAGTAAGTATAAATAAAAGAAGAAAGTGAGTTTGATCCCTTCAAATACTCCTGTATTTGTATCCTGCCTTTTTACAGCAAATAGACCACAAGTGTCATAAATCATCAAAATTTTACACGTTACTTCCAGCTTCTTAGGGTATAAACAAACAGAAGCTCTGTAAGATTCAAAAACTTCTGTGCTTTCTATAGTAGGTAACTGTTGGACACTATATTGCACCCCTTTGATACATCCATATACTGCCCAAGCATTTTTTATAATCTTGGTGCATCTATTTTGCAAGCAAAGCTGAGAATACATTGAATGACTAACTCAGTTTGGAACTGAAGAAACCTGTGGAGAATTTTTTAATTTCATTGTCTTTGTGCAAGGGAGGCTAAAATGCTACAGTGATCATTCGAAACTGCAGAAAGTCATAGCACAAATAAGGCTTTTGAGCCAGTCTACTGAAAATGCCTGGCCTTTTGATGTCACTTCTACTAAGCCATTCTATTTCTAGTATCTCTTGTTTTTTATAAGCCTATAAAGCTTGCAGAGTAATCTTCTCAGAAAGCAGTAAGAGGTACTGAACTTTGACAACTGAAGAAGAGGTCTGTCATCTTCAAAGATTTTCACTAATGATTCACTCTAAAAAGCGACATTTATAGATAATAAACATTTTACCTTCATTAATGAAGAAGTCAGCTATATAATATGCTGCTCTTACAGCTGATGGGGAATGTGGAATGCCTGGTGAATTCTTCCACTCAAAAGGATTTTTCTCTGGATGCCACTGTACACCATAAATTGGATATTTGTATGCTGCAAACAACACAAAGCACGTAAACAAGGTCTACGTCTTCAGAATTATGTGCTTAGTCTTACTGCAAAAGAAACTCAAAAGAGTAAGTTACATACTACCTCGCTTATCAACAGTTTCATAAAAGCCTAAACAGCAAGTTGAAACTGTTAAAGTCACAGTAAAACTGAAGGAAAAAAAAGGGGGATATTATAAAAGAAGGGTCTCATTCCATGCAAGATACTTGTACATCACTTTTTGATTATTCATTTCAAAATTTTTATATATGCATATATATACACACACACACACACACAAAAATGATGTTATGCCTGTATCAGTCTCAAAACTTCCTATCTACTGCCAGCATCACTCAACATACGATATTCACAGCCATGCAGGATATCCCTGGCAGTTCCATGGGACAGATCCAAGTCTTAGGATCTCCTTGAAGGCCCAGTCAATCTAGGGGCAGCTCCCATCTGCTCTGTGCCAGGCCTGATTCACACAGGGGGAAGCCAGTCCTTAAGTCTCTTACAAAGAACTGCAGCATAGCAGCTGATGACTGCTCTGTGATAAACCGCTTGCAGGCACGGGAGATGTCTGTCATTAGCCTAATCAGGTTTTCTGATCAAACTGCTATTCTCCTCATCTGGAGGACAGCCATTATACCATACAGAGGAATACCATGGGTCGGCAGCTGGGCCTTACTGCAGAGCATCTAGTAGTGCATTGATCAAGATAAACTGCTCTCTAAAGAGGTAACTTGTTTTTTGAGCTGAGCAAGCCTGGTGCAAAGCATACACAACACAAGCTAAGCAAGGCAAAAGGCTTTTGGAGGAGGGCAATTACCAGTATTGCCGCTAAAGTAATGAGGGATGCTGCTGTTACCTCCGTACCCTGAACTGCTCTTCCCATACAGCAAACAAACAAGAGCATCACAGGAATGTGAGCATAAGCAGGCAGGCAGAAAGCAAGGTGCAACAGCGGCACACCGCACAGTGGAGGGATTAAACTACTACAGGACGAGTGCTGTACACTTCACATCTCAGCAGCTGAATATTCCAGTGCTAAAGTGTAACAGCGTTATCACTGGGCGAGAGAAGTAAGTAATTAGGCTCACAGATTATGTACTCAAAAGGTAAATATTCCTGCAAACAGAGTATGTTCCTCACGGCCAGAGCACCAACAGGGCTGATGCTCATCCTGCTATTCTTACAGCAAGCTTGCGGTACAAATTAACAATGCCACAACACCTGTAAAGAACTAGTTTGTTACAGTCACAGCTTACAAAGGAAATTAATTTCCGTACCTTCCATGGTAGATATAAACTCCACTTCATCATTGATGTTAGTGGTCAGAACGTTATAGAAATTACGAAGCTTTTCATTCTTTGTGAAATTCTGTGATAAGGAGGAGGGGGGGGGAAATGTGTCATTTTCTCATTTATTTCTAGTTTTAACAGAGCAAATGCATTTGTGTTCAGGAAATAAAATGATCAAATACCTCCATGGAGAGGCTCCACATATGAAAGTTTGATGTCAAGGGCTCGGTAGCAAATGCATGTAATACATCATCAGGGAAATTCTTGAACAACCTACTGTCTTTTGCAGCTATTAAAAAGAAAAATGAAAAAAGGATATTGTCCATTACCCAAGATGCTAACAAATGGACTACTACTGAACAGGAGATAAATTAAATAACATACTGCATTAAAGTAAACTTTTTTCTGTGGTATAACTTCATGATTTTAGAATACGCTGCAAGGAAAATCAGTGAAATAACTACAACAGGTTTCCAGTATGCTGTTACCACTGTCCTCCAGTCTTGAACCAGAGCAGACCCAACTTTGCTACCCAAGTTCTCACTAAAATAAGCATCATTCTTTGCCACTCATTCACAATGAGCACAAATGACAGAATTTATGAATGCTACATGGTCCACAGATGGATTACTCACAAATTAAAGGATAAAGTATCAACAGAGGCCACATTTTACCAGTGTTGCTGAGTGGCATAGCTCTATCTTATGGGATCTCTCTGATTTCAATACTGTACAAGTGGGACAGTAATGCTAATATTCATTCATCATTAGGAAAGATGCAATTTGAAAAATTTAAAATTACCTGCTCTCCAAGTTTGATAGGTTTTGGACCCGTGAATTTTGTTCAACTCGGTAACAAAAAGGGACCTAAACCTACATTATTTTTGTAGGTCCAAATTATCAAATAACTTAAAGAGCCACAACTGTGTTTTTTGCTGACTGCTGTTGGTTTCAGGTGGCTTGTGCTCACGTCTCTGCTTTAGAAGTGGTAGAGTTTCACTGACTTCATAAAAACAGTCATGGTGACTTAATATGAAAGAATTTAACAAGATAATCATCAGAAACCTCCCAAACATTCAGCTCTGCATATTTATCACAAACAAAATACAACACCTCTCAGCAAAACTCAGACATGAGACATAATGGATTTTTCACCTGAGGTAAAGTTCAGAGGGAGTGCAAATCCATTTGTCTTGGTATTAACAAGTAAAACTTCGCCACTTGTGAGATATGTCAGCTCTTCATGTCCAAGACATGTTCCCCATACTGGAAAATAATCTCCTTTATCATTAGCCTTCAAAATAAAAAGCAACAACATAAGGAAAAAGTACTGAAGATTTACAGAAAGAAGACTGAAGAGAACTTCCTACTCTTTTTGCTATCCCTTGTGTAGGTGAGAAGTAAAACTACTACAGTAGCACAAATTGCTAACAGACAAATTTTAACTCTTCAATTACAATTGAAATAAACACAGACTCCCTTAGTTTTTCTCCTAAAATATGAAGGGTAGGAGATATACACGTCTGTTGAAGCAGTAAACTGAGCCTAACATTGACATTAATTTGACTGTTCTGTTCTACAAGTAATAAATATTGAAAGCAGCCTAATCAGAAACAACAAAATGGCAACATTTCTATTAAAAAGGTAGTCAGAAGAAGGGTCACAAACCAATCTGTCACCATTTTGAGGTAAAGCCTATTCATCACAATTCGTATGTTTACATGAAGTATGTTATGATCACATAGCAAAAGCCCTTTGCAATGTCCATACACCTTTGCCCACCCATCTGTATTATGAAAACATAAATCCTATTACTAGCACAGCTATGGTGTTAAGGGACATACATACATGCTTGTTTAACTAGCAGGTTTGGACCTGTGTTCCAGAAAGTTAAACTGGGAGTTCAGGCAACATGAAAAGTGACAATCGTTTTCAAAAGAATAAAAATTGGGAATAAGTGCAAAAGCAAGAGAAGAAAGCAAAAAGGAGAAAAGGAAATCAAAAAGAGAATACAGTTAGCTTCCTGTCACTTAACTAAGCACAGTGCATACACACAGTGGAAATTTGCTTTTCGTATAGTTTATTCCTGATAGTAAGCACCTATTAGAGACTGGGATGTTTCAGGATTCCTGAGTAGTCTTTCTTAACTTGTTTATAAACATTTTTAAGTTACGCACACACATATGTGAAGAGCTGCTGTTCAAAAGCCATTTCTGAGAAAGCAGAAATGACAGGTTTAGAATAAAAATTTTACCCTACTGCATTACTGATAGCACGGTAATAAATGCCCATATAATTACTACTACTCAGAGCAAAACATGAAGATTTACAGAAAGAAGACTAACTACTCCAGAGTCTTCATGACCACCCATCATGCATGGCTAGAGAAATAGAATTTGCAACTTCACTGTCCTTCTTTCATGTAAGTGAGGAATAAAACCACTAATGGCAAAAAAATGGACTACAGTTTAAGAACAGTTACGAGCAAACTGTAAACATTTTGTGCCCCCCCCTTTTTTAATAAACATTAGCCTGAAGGCTAAGTATATATTAAACAACACTCAAAACATCACATTTTAAAAACTAATTTAAAAGCTAGAAAACAGTATTTCATTTAGGTGCCTAGTTAATAAAATTCTATTCACTTGGATGGGGATTAGCATTTCACATCTTCTATTCATATTAAAGCAGAGACAGACCAAGTCATTTCTCATTGTGAACATCTGAAAATGAGAAGGAGCCCTCATACACTTTAAAATAACATAAAGTTCAGTCAATTACATACCTGCTAATATACTCTTGACTATTGTAGCTCACCTTACATTAGTAAAGCTACCAATATTTTATAGCACCAATTAAGTCTCAAAAGATGAAAACCAAAACACACAATCATCACAAATAGCACAGGAAAAAAACCCCAACTTATTAGTAAGAGTTACCTATGATCAACCAAAAATTATTTTCTGCCTTTTACTCACCTGAAGTACACATACCGTAGTAAACCCGCCTCTCTGATCATGAAGTTATGACATAAGCAATTCAGTTAAACATTGTGAAATGCCAGTAGAATTTTGTAATAGTACTGCAAACCACAAGAAACTCTCACCCCAATACTGAATATCAAGACACAGGTTGCACTGCACACAGTGAGCAGTTTCAAAGACACAAATGAGATTAATCATCTTACATAAAAGCCAGATAGTCTTTGCAAGATTTGGCTTTAAGGTGACTAACAATCACCATGAATAAAGATAGACAAAAGAAGAACAGCAGTGGTGCCATGGGGATTGAAGAGCAGGAACCTCAATTACTGAATTGCAGCAGCTGACTGGTCCTGTGAATACCACTGCCTGCGCTTTCCTTGCCTGCTGCTGGAAAGTCAGCAGTAAGGGTAGAAGAGGAATTCCTCACTGCCAATGAATGCTTCTACCATGGTAACAGTTTAAACATTATTCATAAATGGCTCTAGAATTGGGCAAAGTTTTCCAAAGTATGACTTCTGTGGCAATTTTAGTCAACGTTAGCTGAAAATAAAATAAAGTCAGTAAAGAGGGGAAAAAGGAAGGAAATTTACATTTTTATTCAATCTGAATACAGAATATCCTTAACAAATCATAGGGATTGTATATAAAGCTCAGTGATCTCCATTCCTTTCCACAATGCAAATTTTACTTCAAAAATTTGTTGATTACTATCTGAAAAAAACTCCACCTTTTATGCTGTAAGAGAATTAAATCTTCAATAAGGATTCAGAGCCTCCCTGAAGTTCTCTGAAAGAAATAGCTTTCCCAGAAATTCAATCTTTTCTTAATAAAGCTAATAACCATAAGAATATTTAAAAATAATTAATATAACCTTTCAAGTGTTCTTCCCACCTTTTTTGTGTTATAAATTAAGCTAGTGTTCACTTTAAAAATCTGCTATATTTACAACTACCAAATAAATAGGTAAAATAGTATAACATGCTAATGTAGACCCCCTCATCCGCACCTCCAAAGATACATTTAAATCTACTTATAGATAAGTGAGAATAAAGGTGTTTCACTAGCTGTAACATATGTGAAGGAAGTCCTTAAGGTCTTATTATTGTAAACTGGTTTATTTGAGAGTCTCTATAATTCCTTCCTCCTTTACTAATAAAACTTCTACAAAAGATTACATTTATTTATATCTTTGTTCACCATTTAATGTCAATGGATACTCTGTGCTTTTGGAAGACATTATTGTTACTTTATTGCACATTCCACACAGCCATAAAGTCCTAGGTACAATGAATAAATGATACTGTTCTCACTTGAAGAACTTGGGAGTTTAAGACCATGGCACAACATGTAATAGGAGAGGGTGTCAGAAGTCTGAATCCTGAGCTATTAAATTTTTTTTTTTTATGCAGAAGCCAACAATGAGCTACATATTATCAGGCTTACAGTTAACACGCTGGATGCCAATGGAAATCTATGAAAATATGAGCCTCCCTGTCATTTTGATCTCTGAACAGTGACAATAACAAGAACAGACTGTTCCTTGGTAATTACCTCTAATGCCTTGTGGTAAAATATCTTAGCAACCCTGGAATACTCTGAAGTCTTAAGATCCACACCACCTCCTGGAAAAAGTACCCTGAAAGGCAACATCCAAGAATCTCATTAGCAATGGTGATCAAACTAAAACCTGGACAATGTACACAGAGAAAGGTCTGATAGTGGTTTTAAGGGTAGGATTCAGGTCTAGGTTAAGACACCTACATTTCAGAATTCTATAGACAGGCATCTAGGCTTCCATTATGGACAGCAGGGATCTAGTCAGAAAAGTCAATGGAGACTCAAATCTGTTTTCTAGAGCAGATACCTAACCGGACGGTAGGTTGAACAGCCCTGTAGGCTCCACTGGCTGTACTGACTAGCACTCAATTAATTATGTCACTCTAGACAGCTAGCACACGTGCAGACAGCTAAGTTTAAGTGTCTAAGTCTATAACTGAAATCCTAAATCTTCGTGTTCTTCTACTGAAGAATGGTTATTATCACAACATAGTGACAGAAAATACACAGAACATACAAATTTCAGCTGGCACACAAAAGGGTTGCATGCCATGATTCTGTCAAATCCCATCCTGACTCTCAGATGGCTCTCCCTACCACTTTAAAATCCTGGCCCCAATCTTAATTCATACTGTTCAATTTCAGTAAAGAAGAATTGTGACTCTGGGCAGAGTGATCTTCTTCATGCAGACAATACAGATCAAAAAGTTCCCCTTAAAAGGGGAAAAAAAAGTATGTTCAGCCGTAACCTCTGGTCACACAGTATCTAGTGTAGAAGAAGACGACGACAAAGCAATCTCAGAGACAATTTCGAAGAAATAGTGCACAATCTTTTTCCACCACAAAAAATAATCAGCAATGGCAATTCTCTGTTTGGCTCCCCAAATCCAACCACCACAAAAGAAAAAGACTCAGTACAGTCTAGCAGAGATTTCACATGTACGCACAGTGACATGGAAAGCAATCAAGTGCCATCAAAGAGAGTAACATGAAATAAAGGAAGTCTCTTCTGGCTGTAACTGGAACATTACCCGTAGAACCAACAGAACTGCATGTGTGATCACTCCCTAACCCACTGCAGCAGAAACTGTATTAGATTTACCCAAGCCACATTCATCAGTTGCTGATTTTTAACCAAAATGGATGAAGGATTTCCTCTATGTTTCAGTGCTCTGGAAATGGCAACCTGTATCACTGAGATGCTAACAAGCAGCCAGAAACAACAAACATCTCAAATTATCCCAAGCATTTGCTAAGTGAGTGTGCATTTAGAATAAACCCGGTCACAAGGGTTTAAGGTGAATTATGCTCAGGATCATGCAAAAGCCAACAATTATTTAGTGGAGAAGTAGAGCAGTATTCACAAAATATACATCAGATTACTCTCCAGTGCCAATACAGAAAATGAACACAGCTGAAGATACTTTCAAAGCAGGCCACATTACAGATTCCTACAGAGATCTAGTTAGACAAATCAGGAGATCCTTACCTGGAAGTGGTGGAAAATTCATGTCACCCGTTCCTTTTGTTTAAAGTAAAACCTGACCAATACTAATTAGGAAAAACAATTGTCATTCCGGCTAATGCAAAAAGGAAGTAACCCATTAAGTAGCAATGACAATGACTTGACATTGTCATAAACAGATGGAAGTGCAACTACCTGTATTCCAGTATCTCTAACTGGTTAGAGCTGATGATGTTCACTGTGAATTTCAAAGGTTATCTCAGGAGTACCTCATTATAGTCATAAAATTCCATCTCTCTATAGTAAGTTTCATGATTTTAAGAAGGTGGCATTTAATAATAAATAATTTCCAACTGCAAAGAACCTGAAGCTAAAGTCTTACAACATGAAAGATCAATGCATCTCTTTCTTATTCTAAGTTTCCACAGAATGGAAAGTCCTTCCCTCCAGAGATCTCATTTGTTATTTACACACAGCTATACTGTGGAAGCCATGAGCTGACAGTGGAGGGCAAAAAGAGCAAAAATAGACCATCCTTCGATAGACATAGCACAGACCCAACTGGCAATCAATGCAAAGACAGGAGGATATAGGAACTGGATCTACTTGCCCAATACCCTCTTCTGCATTGAGGTAGGTAGTGAGGTAGAAAGAATGGGAGACCCCATTGGTGAAAGCCCTTCTGGCAACCAAAGAGAGGCTGGCAGCCATGAGAAAGGATAAAATGATTAATTTTTTTAAAATTATTAATCCTCCAACATGAGGAGCCACAGGGGAGAAACTGTCCCTGTCTTAAACTTGCTTACACCACAAGACTGTGAAGATCCACATCTTCGTGTACAAGGCATGCTGTGGAGCATAAGAGGACAATGATCTCCCCAGAGAGCCACAGGTCTAAATCTGCAAGTTCTACACATGTTGATTAACATTCTAGTATTCGCATAAGCTTAACAAAAATATTCATGGTTTAAGATGCTCATGTCATGACTACAAGTAGCCCAATCACATGCTATGGGCTCACATATGATCAAGCCTGTGAAGTGTAGCATCAGCTAATTTAACTCTTCTAAAGTGCGCTTTTAGCACAAGGCAAACATAAAAGGTTTTGACCTTCCTTAGTCCACGATTAAAATCTGTTAAATTAGATCACATTATCCCACATTTAAAATGCAGGAAGAACTCGTGGGTGGGCAGTTGCCATAGATCAGCTGAAAATGTTGAATATTTGTCTGTAACAAAGACCTAAGACACAGAATCACAACAGGCAAGATGGGCCATTCATGTAGCAAGAGAGAGAGAGCACCCACAGAGAAAAGGATGGAAGAAATTGGAAATCAGAAACTTTTGTGATACAGGAGATATGGAAAGGACTGGAAGAGGGAAGAAAGGGTTGGAACAGGGATGAAACGCCCAGCAAGTGTTATTAAATATCAAAATTAAGATGATAGCTCAAATGAGGAAGTGGCAAAAAGTAATAAAGGAGTGGGCTATTTCACTTGTAAAATTGTTAACCACTATAATGCCACTTCTGTCTGCCGGCAGACAAGCAGAGTAGAATGCCAAGATGACCATTGGCACTGTTGTAGATTATCCAACATGTGCTCCTTGAGGAAGGCAGCAGACCGACATCAGATGAAATACTGCTCTCTCTGTCATAGAACACATTTACGTGTCTGCAGTGCTCAGCACAACCTCTCAGGAGAGTAGAAAGACACTGTTCCTGGCAATACAGCAGAGCTCGAAACCAGAAGTATCACATCTTTCAACAGAAAATCAGTGCTCAAAACTTACCCATTAATAGAGTGGAATATTTTATCATATTCTTCATCTGAAAGGTTTAGTCTGAAACACCAAGAAAATAGTTACAGAATACATATGAAATACACCTATTTAACCACAAAAATATCATTGTTATTGAATGGAAACATGAGACACAGAAAATATGTAGAAAGCATGCTTTAAACAGAATAAACCAGACCCAAATCAAATGAAACATTTCACTTGAAACAGCTCAATCCACAGGATTGAAAATAAGGTCCTGCCAGTTCAGGATTAGGTATGCAGAGACCCCTTTGCAGACACTCGTTAAATTTAACATTTATATGAATGGCACAGTTATTATTTCCTGCACACCAGCAACTCCGGTTTACAATTGACTCCAAGAAGGGCAGAGCTGCAAATAGTGGGTCACACCCGTTCTTCAGCAAAGATATAGTTGAGGGTGGAAAGATGAGAAAGACCTCAGCATGAGCAAAACATCAGCAAACCAGAACAATGGCTACACACCTGCAGAACTGATACACTGGGTATATTCAAAGAGTCCAGCTTTGCTGCATCTTAGTTGCCAGAATTAGAAGCCTTAGTTCATCGATGAAGCTTCTGGTCAGAAAACATTCTGAAAGCTCCACGAGCTACGTGAGAAACACTGGCTTCTAATTCAGGCACTTAACTGGTGCTTTTATTGGACTGTGCAGATACACTCTACTGTGATTTTCTGCAGCTGCATTAGAATATTTTTAAAGTTTTGACAATTATCATTTTAACATCCGATTCAGTGCATTTACTATATTATAGCTAACTGTTGGCTACGAAGTATTGTCAGTTCTCTGCCACTCTGCTATTTTTTAATCAACAACCAAAATACAACAATACATGGAGTTAGTGGCCCATAGTTTGAGCAGAACTGGACTTTGGTTTCTTCAAGGAGTATAGGCAGCTTTCCTCCATTACTGGAATTCTATGACTACAGAATGTGATAAAAGATAGTATGTGTATATATATCTAGCCATCTACATGTGCTTGTGGGGCACTACAACACTGAATATAGCTAACTTCAAGAACCATGGATGCAAACCATGGAGGGTAATGTTACAAGTAAACAAGAAGTAATATTTTTCAAAGAAAGGTTAATATCGTAAGAATAAATTCTAAAAATCGCATGTTCCAGTCTGCTTTTATTCGGATTTCTAAAACACCCTGCAAATTGTAGCATCTTCGAATAGTCTTTGAGGAGCTCTAAACACTAAGAAAAGCAGCACAACTGCTTTCTGTACCTCTAAGATGATACCCTTACACTAAACAACTATTACCCACTTGTCAGGATATAAAAGTCTACCTTATTGGCACAACTCGGGCACCGGCAGATTCCAAAAACTTCACATATGAAGCTGCAATATAAGAACTTCCAAATCTGTGGAACTTCTCGAAGTGACATTCCTGTGACAATATCCCTGAAGAGTCCAAGAAAGAAAATTAGCGCTATATACAGCAAATATGACACGCTGAAAGAAAAATTAAACTCCAATTTCCTATATGCCAGGTTACAGCCTCACGTTTCTGCCTGAGAGAATTACAAACACTTGAGACAATGGGACATCAATTACAACGCCTAGTCACAAGGCAGTAAATAAACACACATTACCCGACTAAGACTCAGCTTCCCTGCCTTAACTATTTAGTACTACAACTTCTCTTAAATAAGTTATAGTTACTTTAAGGTTTTTTTACACTTTACAGTGTATAGCGTAACACTATTTATAAAAGCTTTAGGCAAACCTACGCTCCGGGAAACCTTCCTCTCCACGCAGAAACCGGCAGGCTCTCCTCCCCCAGGACAGCGAGGGCAGGGTGCGAGGCAGCCCTCGGCCGCCGCCTTACCCTGGCCCGGCCCCTAATCCCCAGGCAGCGGCCGCCGGCAGCTGAGGGGCCGATACCTCCCACCCCTTACCAATGATGGGTCTCTCGTTGCCCACGGGGGAGGCTGCGGCGGCGCAGCGGAGCAGAAGGAGGAGAGTGGCGGCCGGGAGGGGAAGAAGAGCCGCGAAGCGCCCCAT